ATGTTGAAATAAAACTTGGGTACATTAATAGCTCTTTAAATCTATGTTTTCAGGGCCTGTGGGTAACTTATGACGAATAAGTTTATCTATTTCGTGCATTAATATGGCACGACAAACATCACACATCGTTCGTATAAATGTTATGTTGCGTATCTACTTGTTTGTTAATTTCCGGTATAAATTCTTTCCGAGGAACTTCAGCGCTACAAGTCCTTTTTAAATTAAAACTAGTTTATTCTTTCTCGACACAACTTTGTAATACACCGAATTTCCACAGTCACTTTAAACTTAACTATCTTTATAATACACGCTATAAACCACAGTGATTCACACACTTTACTTACGGTGCCTACTGTTCGCTTGACTCAATTATCTATCTATCTCTTCGATCTATCTGCCTATGCAATCGCGCTGGTATTTCTCGCCAGGCTTATATACTAAAAAAGAGGGCGCCTGGAACAAACTAGAGTTGCCCGGAAAATTCATGATCCTTCCAGTAACTCCAGCGCGTATGCTCCCAGCATCGCGTGACTTCCGCTATCGTAACAGTTCTTTACCATAGTGCTTAATGTAACATTTTTTAAATAATAATTCTACCATATTTTCACAAGATTTTAAAAATGTCTGTACGATCTACTGAATTCGAGAAGAGGATTTGTATATAATATCGTTTAAACATCTTTGTTTTATAATTTAACATATTATCAAAGAAACATTGAGAGTAACAGATAGTTTGCAGTTTCTGAACAAACTTTTATATAGGTTTCGTAACCACCTTCTTCAGTTCACCTATATACACCACAGTTTTTAGTAATAGTTCGAAATTAGGCCTAGAGGGTTTTGTCCATTGTTTCGTATATTCGTCTAAAGCTACGCGCGGTATATCTGCGATAACTGTCTCTCATTTAGAACTAATACAGTAGAGTGAAGGCAGATGGTCAACAGCACATACTACCAACTCTTGGACGAATGGAATAGTGGGATTTGATCGTCACTCTTATAACGCTTGCGCGGTCCCAAAGTGCAGAGCGCGATTTTGCACGGACCGACCCATAATTGAAGAAGACTTATGATTTAGTTAGAACTTTAACATTATGTGAGGTATTACAAACTTCTAACTATACGTTAATTACCAAGAATAAATAGACAGCAATAGGATATTCTTTAATAAATAAATAATAAAATATTTTTGGCTGTAATTTCCGTAAGCTTAGCACACGACCTTAAAACATCCTACGTTCACAAACGCCAGGTTTTGTACATCATAATTTAAGGATTTTCGTTGAACAATTAAAAAAAAATCTTGGAGTTGCCTATTCTCCCATTATACATTTGAGAGTTATTCCGTTCGTTTATTAAACTTTAAGCAAAGTTAGTGATGAGTTAACTGCGCTAGCCGTCCTTACTTTTCAAGTGATAGACTAGAGGGAGAGCCAACGAATAGTGGGATTGACAATCACATCACAACGTCTCGCAGCTGAAAAGGCATACTCGGTAACGGCTGTTGAACCCTTGACAGTCATCATCAAAAGCATAGATATCGTAATCCCATTTTTACGACTCCCGTGAACTCTAGAGCGTCAGGCAAGTTCTTCAAAACTAAGCTAAAAGTTTAATTCGCTAACAACTCCTAACAGAGTACTTTTCAACAACTTTAACTAACACACTGTAACTGTCTATCTTTTAGTGGTAATTTCTAAGTATTTTTAGTAAAACCTTAGTGATATCGTGGCGAAACTAAATTCCCGTAAAATGTGATGCGTCCATTTACTATTAATTTACAGTCGGTAAATCAAAGTAACGTTTTCTTTAGGACTTCCGTTTAAAACTACGGTTAAAATTTATTTACTAGTTCAAAGTTATTTTTCATTTGGGGCAGGATCACGTACGGATTTTTGGTGAATCTTATACAAAAAAAAGGGGGGGGGGCGGGAATAAATCCTTTATTTTTCGACGTGTAAGTTTGTTCATGGGTCCCAAATCTCATTAGTGTGGATGGGAAAGCTTCCAAAATGTTTATGCTTGTAGGTGTTATTTTCCGATATATATTTTTCATAAAAGTCTAAATCAGATTTATGGTATATTTTATGATATTCAAGTAATACAAGGACTGGGCAACAGCCGTTTCGTTAGCTTTCCAAAACTCGTTTAACTTTAGTCGTTATTAGAGGATTACTTTTGTTTATCTAGTGTTGACTGGGAACGTCTAGATTCATGATGGAGTCAGATGAACATAGTGTAAAAATGATAAGAAATGTTTAATATTCGTAGATTTTTTAAATCAACTTTACACAAATACAACTAAAATAACAAGCCTTATAATCGAAGTTCATAATACATTTTATTAGAACATTTTCTTATTTGTTTCAATAAACACTAGTGTCCTTACAATAGCCACGACACTGTAGCATTTGCTTGTTCACAGAAAACAATAATTACAACGATTACACGCTAGTACATAACACCACTGATGCTTAAATAACACAGGGAAAATAGCATCATTAAGACCACAGACTCAATGGCACCGTTACCAAGCAGGCATAATATTCGTAGCACTGAGGCACATTTCAATTTATTTTTCAGTATCAGAAAATTTACACATTAAAGCACTAAAAGGCACTTAAGAAAATGCACGGCGATAATAACAAGCCAACCACCGCCATAAAAAACACAACAATGTTGCTTTAATAACGAAATGACCCTATAGTACAGCCTTTTCTTTTTAGCTAAGTTTCTAAGGTAAAAAAACAGATGGCACTTGAAGATTAGTTCCGCTGAACTGTTGTCTATTTACGGAACTTTAAAGGTTACATAGAACTTTAATGAGCAAAAAGTTCTAACACATTTATAGATTAGACTAAATTTCGCCCATTTTATCTTATTGTGAACCAAAGTTTTGAACACTATTCTATTATTAGATTTCTACTGGCGTTCACTCAACTACGGACAAAATAATATCTTAGTGCAAGCCTACTTTAAGCTATATATATCTTGTGAACACGACTTTAAATAAATATTAATAATATTAATGGCAATACAACGAAACATTTCAAATAAAAATGTAAAATCTGTACAAGTGACAAAATATAATTTTTATTTTTTGCATTTTATCATTCTTGAAAGACGTATGGATAAAATAAAAATTACAGGACATGTACAATATTAATCAGGTTAGGCTACTATATGGAGATCACACCACTACGACCTATATTACGTTTTAACTAACAATACAGAAATAACGTATATTATCAGCCAACTTTTCTTCAGTGGAGAATTCTGCCAGACGATATACAAGTCGGCATTATTCCCTAGACTTAAATAAAACACCTTATAATCTACTTACAAGACTGGACTGGTAACACGGATATTTTAACGTTCCCTGTTAGCTTTGGTAGCGGAAACTTGCAGTATTAAATATTATTTTTACTAAATACATATTTTTTTCCGTGATTATTTTCAACAGGAATTAGGTAATACGTCACTTTGTGATCAAACAGTATTTCAAAACACCCATATTTGCTCATAATTGTACAAAGAAAGTATGAAAATTATAAATTATTTACAATAGAGTCCAATGCAAGTGTAAATAAAATCTTCCAGCTCCTTTCAGCACAATTTATACTCAAGTTCTAAATCACACCAAAGCTATTTTCTAAAATTTGAATTTAATTATGTAGACATAAAAAGAAACGCTTTGACATCTTCACGCTATAAAATAGCTCAAAAAATGTGACTCTTAATCACTTCATTTTTTTTAATTCAAAACATAAACTCTCCTAAATTGAAATTGAATACTTATATTTAATAATAATACTTGTTACATAAGTACATGTATAGTTATATACAATATTTATTTTAAAATAAATAAGATGCAAACACACATTCTTCAACTGTTTACATTTATAAAATAAATATTCTAAATTATAATTGAAAAATTAATCAAGTTGTCGGTCTCGTGCGATTTGAGAGGCTTATCACCTTAACACGGATGTGTACTTGCTGATTTAATACAAATGTTAGAGTTATTTTTGGTTGTTTATACACGTATAAATATGAAGCTCAAATAAGTGAAATGATAATTACTTTTATTAAATTTTCTAACATATACTAACTTTATATCTCTACCAAACTGAATGCTGATATTATTAGGTTTTATTTAAAACACTTTCACAATCACAAAAAGTAGGTGTGTTTTTATTCTCCATTTATTCCTAATATGTTACCATATTTGTTTAATAGAAAAGATGATCAAGAGTGTTATAAAGAAACAAATATAAAACATCCTGACTTAATGCTTTAAAAAAAACCCTATTAACAAGAAAATTCTTCAGTGTCACTGTATAATTACTCCTAGCTATAAAGCAAACGTGTATATCCAGTGTTCAACATACAGAAATATTTAACTGAAATCTCCACAAGCTATTCCAATACAAAAGCATTATTAATTAACGTCTGATAAAAGTATTAGTTTACATATATATAAAGTGTGCTTCCTTAGTTAGGCTTTTTAAATAAAAACAATCAGTGAGACTGTGTGTGTGGGGGGAGGCAATAAAGAGATAGTTGATATGTACAGATTACTTAAAACCTTTGACTTTTTCTTGATAATCAACAGATTTCTACTTTATGACTATTTGAAGCTAAGTCCTGTTGCCTACTTATCAAATGACCTAATTTACAAATTAAGTTTGGAATGATGGTATTTCATGATTAACAAAAGTATGTATTACAAGATATTATGACCAAGTGTGCATGTCAAGAGAAGAACTGGCAGTGACAGTGTGTGTCAAATGAAAATTGACCAAGTGTGCATGTCAAGAGAAGAACTGGCAGTGACAGTGTGTGTCAAATGAAAACAACCCAGTGTGCATGTCAAGAGAAGAACTGGCAGTGACAGTTTTGACATGCACACTTGGTCAGTTTTCATTTGACACGATCTGTCACTGCCAGTTCTTGACATGCACACTTGGTCAGTTTTCATTTGACACGAACTGGAACTGGCAGTGACAGTTCGTGTCAAATGAAAACTGACCAAGTGTGCATGTCAAGAACTGTCACTGCCAGTTCTTCTCACGTTAAATTAAAATGGTTTTAATAAGAAAAGGTGGTACATTGACACAAGAGCATGCTGTGTCTTCAGATGTAGGACTATTAAAGTTTCAGACATTTGCCATATTACACTAATGCTGCTGTTGTATTTAGAATTTTCATGTAAAACTACCCATTTCATAGCCATCCCTACCTTTGAACCGATAGTCTGGAGGGAAGGCAGCTAGTCAACAGCACCCACAGCCAACTCTTGTCTGATCAAATAACGGAATTTGATCAATACTTGTATCTTATATATAGCCTCAAAGTTTCGCAGCAATGATATGCAAACCATTAACCATTAAATACACACTCTGGGCAAGCTAACCATTAAGACTCATCTGGCCCATTACAATAATAAAACTTATTTCATGTTGCTTATGGAGCGGCAGACACAATGCTTAGTAATATGGGAATGATTTTTTTTTTGTAATGTATGTCCCAAAAATAATTTTCATTTTCAATAATGATTTACATATTCTGGGGCAAAGTTACTCTTGCTACTCAGGAATTAGTTCCACATATTAGAAGAGTTACCTGTTCTTAATATCTATTAAAATTTTTTAAGAGTAGCATACTGTCAGGTTTTCAAGAATCTGAAGTAAAAACATTTGTACTGTTGAATCAAACCTCGTTCTACTTTTAGATACACAAAATCCAACAGTTTTTGTACATGTAATAATTATATTGTTTGTGTAAATTAACTTAATCTAATACATACAAAAGCCAGTTGACCTTTAGTAACATTTCATTTGTTTATGTTGCCTAGCAACTAAACTATGACCTAATATTGTTGACTGAAGTATGCATATAATACTTCAAACGTTTACAAGGGCTGGCTTGAATTCCACTTTCTTAGGTTCTTTTACATTTTATTTTATGCATATACTTAGCTTGACATAGATATTTTGAAGTTCTTAACAAGTTTTAAAAACATCCAAGTTAGTGGTTTAGTGACCATAATTTGTGTGTTCTCATTAGGTTTTTGTGAAGTTTTCAGTTTTATTATTACTTTTTTTTTGGATATCTTTTTGTCTTTCTTTACCCCATACATATTGCTATTAGTCTTAATTAATGATGGTATATGAAAATGATTTTTAGGTTTAAACTTTGTAATAGAATTCTTATCATAAACCTTAGGCCTATTGTGTCCGAGTGCTTTATCTTCTTTCGGCATTTATGCTGTAATTTTTAGGCTGTATGATGCAATTAGAAAAATACATTCTGCTACGTGCGAAATACTGATGGATTGGTGATATAGTCAATGTGGAGAATAAATTGAAAGGTAAAAAAAATTACTTTAAACAATTTTCATATGATTGTCATAGATTTATATGAATTTTGGCATGATACTACTAATTTTCCACTGATATAAAAGCCAGTTGTCACTTTGTGTGCGTGTGTGTAATGCTCGTATGAGTCATTTTTAATTTAAGTTACACCATTCTTATTGATATTTTGAGAGTGTGAGATATTCTGTGTGTGTGTGTGTGTGTGTGTGTGTGTAATACTCATATTATGAGTCATTTTTATTTAAGTTACACCATTCTTATTGATATTCTGAGAGTGTACTTGAAGACTTCTCAATGTGTGATTATTTTTCTTTTATGATGAAGGGGGGAAGTTTGGTGAACAAAGCTCACATTTTATTTTATTTTTATTAAACTCCAAGCTGTCATTTTTTGACAGGTCGGGCAAAGCTAGTATTTAATAAAAACCCACACTTCACAGCAACTCCAAAATAGTTTATCGTAAGGAGACTGTATAAGAAATGAGAGGTTTGACCTGCTAATCTTATTCTAGTGAAACATAGCTTTACCATTAATAGCTTCTAGTGCAACAATTTTAAGTAATTTAAATAAGACAGAAGTGTAAGTGTTCTCATTTTTTTACCTATCTTGACAAGTTGGAGCTGGAAGTGTGTGAATCTGCTCCAGTAATCCTAACATCTTCAGTAATAACACCATATTCTGTGGAAAAGACTTTGAAGAGAGGAGTGTTTTTCAATAATATTTGTACGGCATCTTCACGACCTAATTTTTCCGAGCTTGTTCAGAAGATTTCCTACAGTACTATAAGGATACTTAGACCACTGTTCTAATATTTGTGCTGTGGGGCTAATGCAATAATTTTCACCTCCGTCAATGTGTGGAAGTTCATCTGTCATACCAAGCCAAACTCCTAGCATACACCAATCACGGCCCAGTGATTCCGGAGGATCAAGTAGAGCACATAATTTTTGACAAGTCAACACAGACAGCTGAGAAACAAGAACATCGGGTGCAAGGATCACCCTTGCAGATTTAGGGTTAAGATGCTCTTGAAGCTTGAATGCAAAACCACAAAATAAATCAACCACTTTTTCCTGTACATTTTCTTGTTTGACAATAGCATCTGGTCCTTCTTTAACCAAATATCTTACCAATAAATCTGAAGGAAAGTTGACTGGGTTTTCAACATGATCTTGTAGCTGAGAAACACTGAGAAAGTGTTTTCCCACCACAAGACCAGGATATGTATCATTCAGAGTATGGTCCACAACACTCAACAAGTCCTCCAAGAAAAAGAAACTGTAAAATAAAACATAAAAATCTAATTAAAGATCTATCTACAAATTTAGCTGCTTAAACAAGTTCAGAATTGAAAGAGAGTATCTAGTTATGTAGAGGTCGCCACTATCATTCTTTTTATATTTCATGTCAAAAGATTACATTCACCAGGAGCAAACTAAATTTTACAATAACGATATCCCAAAAATGCAATTAAAGTTTATGAGGCAAACACGTTTTATTGAGTTGGAGCTCAGCTTAATGAATTGAAAGACTCCCTTTTATACATGGTGTCCTTTTGTGTCTAGCTTCTTGCAATCATTTTAAATGAGCTATGGTGTACACCTATGTCCAAATCATGTAAAGCCATCTGATGGTTGATCCCACACACCTAGAGATAAGTAATGGTGGGAATTTATATTTTTTATATTGGGAAAAAAAATTAAATTATTCACTGGTCTCGATATAATCCTTAATAAGGCTATCCATCATTTCAGAACACCAAATTTTACTTGGTAATTTTCTTGAGCTTTATTGAAATGCTTCTAGATGACACCATTAACCATATTTTGGAGAACTCTGTTTCTTACTTAAAATATTATTTTTTAGTGTTATCTACTTCCTTACATAAATGTGCTAGTTAACTTATATGACCAATAAATCAAGAATTTAAAGAAATTCCGTGTGCATATGTCTAATACAAAACATTCAGAATTAAAATACAAACCTATAAATTATTTTTATGATACTCTTCTCATTCAAACACTCCTTCATTGTTTGTTATTAAGGTTTCTGCTGACAGTCTAAAAGTATTATTCACAAATGATCAGTAACTATAGTGTTGCCTTTGATGGCAAACATATTGTAGAAGTTCGAATCCACGTGATTAATTCATGAAGTTGACCCACAGATACATAGCCTTAAGATTGTATTGAGATCAGTGTATAAATTACAAAATATTTCCCATTATAAAGGAAAAACAATGCCATTAAAATAATTGAAAGTTGTATATTAGTTTAGTTATTCTATATATAACTTAGTTATTTACAGTCAACCACTAGATGTATGTTCACCTAGTGTGTTTCAAGCCAAGTCTAAGAACAGACAACCAGTCAAGCAGAATACATCATGTTTTGCCTGACTTTGACATAGGTGTACACCCCAGAGATAATTTGAAATGATCACAAAGCTTAGGGACATGAAGAAACTATGTATATAAAAAAAATCTTCCAATTCATAAAACTAAGCCACAGCTCAACAAAATGTCTCTTTTAGTACTTCTCTAGTGTTTTTAACTTTTTCAGCACGGGCTCATAACCATCTTGTGCTTGTTATAGTTTTCATGCTATAACTTTTAAATTAGTAAGCAAATGTTAACAAACTTTAGCAGATTATAAGTAAACATTACAATGCTTTCACACACAAAATACCAATTTTTTTTATTAAGTCTTAAGGTTTGTAAAGCAATGTTTTTCTCACGTACTTTTTTCTTTTTGCATGTTGCCTATCTATCATGCAAAGTAATATTTATTTTAAGATTAAAAATATTTTTATTCTATATTCTAGCTTGTCAATATTGGTAATTTGAGTTTCTAATTCATACGAAACTATAGACTTAGTATTTTGACTCCACAAACATGTAATTTTAACTAGTGCTGTATTCAACATACCACATGACACATAAAAATCGATGTTTATCTGTGTTTTTTAATATTTGATTTTAAATTAAGAAATTTAGTAATATATATATAGTACTAAAATATGAATTACAATTTACAGTTTGATACCAAAGTTATTGACATAAATTCATGAAATAGTAGTTCAAGAAAATTTTGAATGCAAGTCAACAAACAAGATGACATGGCCTTTCACCCGTCTCGAAAGGGTTAAGAGCTCCAAAAGAGATCAAATCTGGCTTTTACTGAAATATAGGAGAGAATATTTAAGTAAAATATAAATCACAGATTTAGCCATCCTTCTGTTTGATAGAGAACCAATAAAAGGAAATAATTAAAAGACAACGCAAATACACTTGATAAATAATTGTTGTTGTTTTTTGGTGTGACATTTGTTAGTTAGTGGAATTCTTAGATTACTTTTTACAGTTTTTCGTCCGTGAATAGAAGAATAAGTAACGTGAATGACCAAGAAGCTACAATCGTAAGGTACTGACCTGCCCATCTTATGGCCGGAGAGACCTCGGATTTTGATTTCTATGACTTTGTTGTCAGTGAGGATGATCAACCCTTCTAAACAGTCATTACAATACCTACTGCCAGTCTGCCATTGATGTAGGTTACTTTTGAGATCTGGGTGCTGATGAACTGACTTTCTGAGTTGAACCTATCATTACATACAGTTACCATAAGTAAAGATATTTGTTCAAACCTGTAATTGGCATTGTAGAATAAGTAACAAAGAGAAAGAAAACATCAGTTATATGAGACAACATTTCTTTCTTTGTCGATGGTAAAAGTTTCATAAGATTACCACCTTCTCTCACAACAGTTGCAGTAAATAGAGTAAAATATTAAACTGCAAGCCAACAATTTTTTTATATTTATTTATTTTTTTTACAAATAATTGGCTTAAACTTCCCCATAATTTTTTTACCCTTCTGGAAATAAATTATTTTTTTTTATAACTAAGACCCAACAGTAGTTCTGAAATCTACTACATAAAGAGCATTTCTTTATAATACAGTGAAAACCTCATGGCCATCAATTCACTGTTAAAACTTGATATATTAGTACTTTAATTACTGTAATTAAGAATGTGTGATTAACACAATACCTGCACATACAAAGTTTAAAATTTTCTTCAGTGAAACTTGCCAAAAATTTTACAAAACCTATGAAGTTTAATAATGCAAATAAAAAATTTTTAAAGTTATAAAAAATCATTGAAACTTGTTTTATTGATAAGAATTGATGAAATTGTACATTACAAATAAGTTACTTTATTTAATCATGACTGTGTAGTGAGCCAGCTATGTAAGTTAGCCAGAAGTGAAAGATTTTCAATCTGTTGATTATTACCTGGACTCGTGGAAAGATCCAAGAAAGTAATGGGCATAACGTGGATTGCGGTCTAATCTGTACACCTGCATAGACTCCATTTTGATAACGCAGATCCTCTTTTTCCCAAGAAACTTCATGGGTCTTCATGATGTTAAAAACTGGAAACTCATATTTAATGACTCCATCACAGTGACATGGGGTACAGAGTTGAATTGCTTCCAGTATCTTTATAATATATACAGTAAATTAAGAAAAACTATAACACTGGTAAATTCACCACAAAAATAACATCAAAATTCTGATAAGTTTGTAAAAATTATTTAGGAAATCTTAGAGAAAATTTCAGTAAGAACAAATTGTTTGATTCTCTTTGAATATTCATGCAAAGCTACTGAATGGCTAATGTGTTATTCATCTTAAGTTTGAAGTGACAGACTATAGAGAAGGCATAACACCCACAGTCAATTCTTGGGCTACTCTTGTCTGACCAAATAGCGAGATCTGACTATCACCCTTTGACTTCAAAGTTTTTTTTGCTCAAGTATGTCAAACATATTATTTACTAATTCCAACCTCCAAACATTATATACACCTGGAAAAAAGTTAAGCACCCCCGTGTTTTTTTCAAGTGATTCAGATTCTACGTTCTTGTGACTGATTATAAATTACCATTCACTCTAAAC